AGTTCAGACTGTGCTATTCCTGCCTGTGTAGACCATGCTAGCATTCCTCTCCCACTCCCTGCCTCCCTGAAGTACTCTTATTCTATCTACAAAACCTTACTTGAAGCTCATCTATAAAGACTTCTTTGAGCCCTTCAGACAGTTAATCACTTCCCCATTCACACTCCCTCTTTCCTTATTTATCAACGATACCTATCACACTGAGACAGGTATTTGGTTAAGTTGCTATATCCCCACCTGACTGTAAGGCCTTTGTGATCATATTTCTCCTCCTTGCTTCAGTCCGCAGTGCCCAGCACAGTGCCTGGCCTAGGAGAGCCCTCCATCGTGTTGTATGCATTGAGGAGCAGAGGACTAAGTTGTCGTCTCAGGAAAGCAGACCTGCTGTAAGCTCATCAATCTTAATGTTCCCTGCCTGACACCAAAAATGCATTAACAGATGGGGAATGGTGTGCTTGGAACCTAGCAAAAGCGGAGTCCAAAGAGTCAGGAATGCTGCCTCCAGCGCTGTACAAAGACCAGCAGATGCGACCCCTTTGAGGCATAATGAGTAGGAAGAAAGTAACCCTAGAACGTGTGTATTGATGTGTAAGATCTAAAACCACTGCGGGCCAAGCAAGACCCTTCAGGATGCTTCCTCCTGCTTCTCTCACCCTGGCTCCAAGTCCCTGGGATGGAAACATTCACATCCACACGTTCAGTTGGAAAGAAGTACTCGGCAAGGCTGTGTGCACCTGGCTGGCACTGCCTGATGTCATTAAGGTCATCCAACTCACTCCCCTAGCTCTGATTCCACGCTCAGCAAGAAAGCTCCCATGGAGAGTATCCTTACAGGGCAGGGAACACATTGTCCAGCTGACACAGATTTTTAAGTATTGCTTGAAGTTCAACACACCTGGCATGCTCCTTAGAAAGAGCTCCTTTTTAAAGGAAAGGGATGCCAGGATAATCTGGTTGCACATGTTAAGTGCCAGTGTCTGAGTTAAACCAGCTGCCTTGGGCTCTATAATTGGACCAATTACCAATGTCCAACAAAGACACTCTATACAATTATGTAGGTATAAGGTTAGCCAGTCACTTATGAGATGGCTCACGTGAGACTCTGCTCAGTGCAGAAACTTCAAAGAAGATGGTGGCAACATCTATGAATGAGAACCTTTGTTTTGGGACTAAGACACAATAAAGGGAGGGGAGTTGGTCTTGATGCCCTACATGCTGGTAGGCCATTATTCCAGTTCTCCCCAGGTTTTCAGGATGCATTGGTCATGAAAATACTTGGTCCATGAGAGCATGCATACTCTCAGCAGTTTTGTGGTCTTGCTCTCCACCTGTTTAGCTTAATAAACTCTGATCACCTGATGATACCTGGTCTTATATTTTCCATGCACATAAAAAAGAACCTGAAGTGCAACTTAGAAATTATATATAATTTTTAATTTTGATTTTCAAATTATGTTTTAGAATGTGGTTGATGTCAGTCCATTTTACACAGCCTAACTGACACTGGATCCTGAGCAAATTAAAGACTAGATTCTGAGTCTTGGTGATTTTCTGCCTCTACAGCTCAACTGTCTCTACCTTCAGCTGCATTTACCAGACATGAAATAATTTTAAAGTGTTAGTTAATCCACAAACTTCTACTCCTTCACCCCTTAGGAAGATATAGGAAATAGCTATTCTTTACTGACTCTGGCTGAGTGGCTATTTGGAATCTGCTGTACATGATTTTTTTATTGAACTTCAAACTGGTGTTTCTTTTGGAGACTGGGAGCAATAGAATGTAGCTTCCCCTGGTGAGAGGGAGAAAAGGGTGAGAAGAAAAAAGGATGTGTGTTTGGATGAAAAGTAGCTTCTGATATCATGGACTACATCAACAGTTTTGCAGATTCATAAGTGGGAGCATCTCTGCAAAGGAGCAGAGAAACCAGAAAATGCAAAAAAGCCCCAAATAGCAAGCCCTCACATTTGTTTAGCTCTTCACAATGTACCCAGCACCTCCACATGCGTTATCTCATGCAGTCCTCCTAGCAGCTCTGCAAGCTGGGAAGCACAGGCATTAGTTTATATTTCACACAAAGAAACTTGAGATCAGAGAGGTTATCCCAGGTCACAGGACAGAGGCAGAATTTGAACCAGTTAGAAACAGAGTAAGTTTATTGAATGAATGTCATTCATTTACTAGAGCAAGGTTAAGAGTGCAGCATTGGAGTCAAGCAGACCTGCTTTCAAGTCATAGCTTCTCCATGTATTAGCCATAGGATCATGACAAGTTGCTAATTTCTCTGGGCCTCTCTGTCCTCATCTGAAAAATGCGAATAATAGAATAGACCCATGAGATAGCATATTTAACAGGTTTAGAGTTGCTCTAGAACACAGTTAAGTACACAATAAATATGCCTTCTTCATGCTGTTGTTGGCATTGTTTGTAGTAGTAGAAGTAGCAATAGTGGCAAGGTATCAATGTATATCTGGCCCCAAATCCTGTGTTCATTCTATGCAACACACTGCATTGATTTTTTTTCTTTTCCTTGACCGCACGTATTCTTTGCTTTCTCTTTTACACCATTTTCCTTCATCCTCCTTCCTATCACATGTATAGAAACCCTACCATCCTCTGAAAGGAAAGGATAGGGAATAAAGGATAGGGAAGGCCTCATGCTGCTTTACATGAGTCACCCTCAGAGGAGAGCTTAGCATTCCCAACAAATGTTTTATTGTTTTGGTTTGCATGATCCTACACCAAGTGAAGAGATTTGAGGGTCCCCAGCAGTTAAGCTAATTAGATATAATTTTCTTTTTGGTGCTTTAGCTGAGTTAGAGGTTTCAGGAAGGAGGGAAGGAATAAGCCTGAGTTAGGCATATCAAGCCTAACTCCCACGTGATGCCTTTCATTTCTGAATTAACTCCCTGGATAAAGTGCTCTTTCTGACAACGAGATAAACAGGTTCATCTAGAGGTTTGGCTCAGTGGAGTATAAATCCCTTTGTAACCACAGTGCTCGTCTCCATCCACCCCAGCCTCCCAGCACCGAGTAGGGTACAGTGGCAGCCATTGTGTGCCCCAAAAGGTTTCACACCCATTGGGAATCTGAAACATAAACACTGCTTACACTGCCAAGTTCTCTCTGCAGACCTGCAAGGCTGGTGCCAAAATGGCTGCCTCACATCTGCCTCCACCAGACTGCATAAAGGACTCCCCACCTACACTATCAAAACTTCTGAAATGACAGGACAGGTGGCAACTGCTGGCTGGGCAAAGGCTGATTTCCAGAACTTCAGAGTAGAGCTGTGCTGGCATCTTTTAAGAAGTTGATTCTGAGGAACGTTTCTTCTATGGTCATCCCTATATTTAGGACAGTTTTAAACCTCCAGAGCCTCTGCTATCCCTTTCTCCTCGAAGGGCCAACCGAAGGGTTTTCAGTGGCTTGTCAAATGTTCTTTATCAAGTATTTGTCTGTTCAAATTTCTCTAACAAAGAGGTTTGGTTTTGACTTACTGTTTAAGCACATGCAGGTTAAGACAGGAGCACTGAGGCATTGCTAGTTGTAACCAAAAGCATCCAATAGGCTTAATGATTTGCTCATACACAAACAAGCAAATTGGATAAAGCCTCTGCTTTTGGCTTTTACCTAACTTAATGTGGACAACTTTGTAGAAGTCTTGTCAACAAACTGAATGAGCCACTGAAAGTGAGGCATTCATTTTAGCCATAAGCTTTGATGAAAGTTTTTCTGTTGCTAGATATGAACCAGATCCCAGGAAACTTAGAAATAACAGAAATAGGGCCAGGCACAGTGGCTCACGCCTATATTTCCAGCACTTTGGGAGGCCGAGATGGACAGGTCACAAGGTCAGGAGTTTAAGACCAGTCCAACCAACGTGGTGAAACCCCATCTCTACTAAAAATACAAAAATTAGCTGGGCATGGTGGCGCATGCCTGTAATCCCAGCTATTCAGGAGGCTGAGGAAGGAGAATTGCTTGAATCCTGGAAGCAGAGGTTGCCATAGCCAATATTGCACCGCTGCACTCCAGCCTAGATTACAGAGCGAGACTCCATCTCAAAAAGAAACAAACAAACAGAGAAATAGCATTATTCTGTCCTCAGTGATAAACCCATTTTTTCTTGCGGTCAAAAGTTTGGGTCACCTGCAAATACACAGTCAAATAATTTTAAGCAAACACATCGAAACAATTCAAGGGGGAAATGAAAGTCGAAAACAATTGGATATCCCCATGAGTAAAACTAACCTCAATCCTTACTCACAGTATACACAAAAATCAATTTGAAATGGGTCATAGGCCTAACTGAAAAAGCTTAAACTATAAAAGTTGTAAAGGAAAGCACGGGAGAATATCTCCAGGACTCAGGAGTAGTCAAAGGTTTTCTGGGTCACAGCAAGCAATAATCATGAAAAACAAAGTGATAAACTGAACTTTGTCAAAATTAAAAACTGCTCATAGAAAGACGTTATCTAAAAAACTAATCAGCAAGCCACAGATCGGAAGATAATATTCACAACACACAAATATCTGACAAAGAGACTATATCCAGAGTATGTAAAAGAACTCCTAAAATTCAGTAATCAGAAGATAACCAAATTCAAAAATGGGTAAGAGACTTGAACAGGAAGATGTATAAGTTACTAAGACATATGAAGAAGTATATGACATCATTTGTCATCAGGAAAATTCAGATGAAAGGTCCATTGAGAACTGACTATCCATCCATTAGAATGGCTACAAGTTTTAAGAGAAACTGATGCCACCAAATATAGGTGAGGAGCCGGAAGAACCAGAACTCTCATATACTGCTGCTGGAAATGCAGGACAATGTACCTGCTTCAGAAGACTGTGGAAGAGCTTCTTCTAAAGTAAAACACACATCTGTTCTATGATCCAGCTGTCCTACTTCTATTTGTTTATCCAAGAGAAATGAAAGTATGTGTTCACAAAAGCACTCAGACAAGAACACTCATAAACATTTTGTTCATGCCTAAAAGCTGGAAACAACCTAAATGTCCACCAGTGCAACAGATAAACTTCTGTATATTCACATAGTGGAATACTACTCACTAATGCAAAGAAGTGAACTACATGCAACATTGGTGAATGTTAAAAATATTGTGCAGAGTGAAAGAAACTGCACACAACAGAGTACATACAGTATGATTTCACTTGTATGAATTTGTTGAATAAGCAAAATGAATCTATGGTGTAAGAAGGCAATGTGAAGACAGAGGCCTTGACACTACATGGAGAGAAAGAGAAGACCAGTCATCCCAGTGTCCCAGCTGAGCCTAACCCAGATCGCAGAATGATGAGAAATGATAAGTTGTTGTTTTAAGTCACTAAGTTTTAGAGTGATCTGTCACACAGCAGTCAAAAATCAGAATCATTGCTTTCCTCATGGAATTGTCAGAACAAAGTGATATGACACTCATGGAAGGTGCTCTGTAAGTGGACAAGTGCTAAGCGTTTGTGAGTGGCAGTTATCTCTGGGTATATGTGCAGATTGGGGTTAGTGATCATTAGGGATAAAGCCATTTAAGAATGAACCTGTGGAATTCAGAGGGTCTTATTACCCAACCAATATAACCTTTGGTTTCTTCTATCCCTCTCCTCTCTCTTGAGCAGCCATCCACAACTGCTTCTGGGGAAGAGAGAGAAAAGAGAAAGAGAAAGAGAGATATTCATGGTTTGTTAAAAAAATAAAATTACACTTACAAATGGCCAGAATAGAAAAGATGTACCAACTTCATTTATTTTGTTAAGGAATGGGGCTAGATTGAAGATTAGCCAATGCTTATAATTTTTAAGACTCTAAGAAATACCTTTGAAGTTACATAAGGATGGAGAGAAAGGAGGGGTGTCACCATGTTCTAAGGGGCTGGTCCTCAATCTGGTCCATGACACGTTGATCAGGCTCAGGGGAATTAAATTAAATGAACCAAATTCCCAATAAACTGCTTGATCAACCAGGATACCAGTTATCCACTTGCAATGAGAAATGCAATTTCCAAGCCACAATATTCAGCTCTGCCAGGTGGTAGGGAGAAGATTATTCTGGAAAACTAGATTACTTGACGTGATAAGAGTTTCATTCCAGAAGCATGGGGAAGTGAGGACATGTAGAGAACCATGAGCAGGTGGAGCACTTTGGGTGTGCTGAGCAATGTCAGTGGACTGTTATAAAAAGCTTAGGTAATGCATCTTTTGTGTACCTGGAATCTGCAATCTAACAGATTTCTAATCAGGCTGAGAGGAGGCTCTCAGTCCTCCCAGTTTATGGGTTTACAGGGATGTGAGGAACTCAAGACAGGGAAATAGCCTCTGTCTCCAAAATGATAGCAAGATGGGGTCCCTTTTTATGAAAAACAATATAATAGAATTGATGAATTTTGACCATTCATGAAAGACTATTAGCTCCATGCCCAGCTCAGACACCTTTTCTAGACTGCCTCTCCTAATATGTGTCCATGTCACCTCCATCTATCCATTTTTGTTCTTTTAACACTATCTTATATTGTTTGTTTATATGTCAAACCCTAAACAATGAGTTCTTGAAGGTTAAAATTATGTCTTATTCATCTTTTTCCCCTGGCCCCCGCATAGTCGCTAGCATACATACAGTGGCACTCAATAAATGCATGTGGGATTAATAAAAGTTTGCTGTTTCTGGAACTTGTCTGAAACCTGAAACACTGCAACACCATCTCCCTTAGATCGTCACCTTACCCTTTTGCCATAATTTTAGAGTGAGGAGGTAGAGGTCACTCGACTACTACGTGTCCTTTTATGAGGAACCTGCAGCTCAGGGCAGAAAGGCGCTGGCTGGAATCACCCTGCCAGCGTACCCTGCACCCCCCCTGCGCCCCGTCTCTCACATTCCCCTCCTGGGAAAGTAAACCCAATCAAGACTCCAACATATCCCTCCCTAGGGACTCAGCCTGGAGTCACAAAGGCCGTTAAGCCTCACTGAAATATGGTTTTCTTTAATTTGTGCCCATTCATTCTTGCAGCCCCTTCCCCAGCTCCAACTACCCTAGTGTTAGTAAGGAGAGGTCGGGAGGGAGGGGAAGAATCTGCCAGGGCCCGCGCGGAGCTCTCCAGGGGGCGCCGCGGCTGCGTATCAGCGCCCCACCACCCCACGCGGGAAGGGAGCTCCACCCCACACAGGAGGTCTCACGCAGCTCTCGGGGACCATGGGCTTCGCGAGGTCAAACTGGCAGAGGGAGACGCCGCAGCTGCTGTGACAGCAAGGAACGTCGAAACCCCCTTAGGGGATACTTTACAAAATTATTTTAATCACCGTGCAGACCTAATAACTTGACCCAAGCACAGTCACCTGTACTCACCCAGAGTAAATATTCCTAAGACCCCATTCAGTGTGTGTGTGTATCTTTCCAGTCTCCTTCCGTTTCAGGCAAATGTCTACTCCCCCCCCCCCCCCCCCCCCCCCCCCCCCTCCCCCCCCCCCCACCCCCCCCTCCGCCACAGTTAACAACTCTTGGCAGCGTGGGAAACAGTGCCCAGTAGCTCAGTCCTCTGCTCGCCGCTCCACTCTGCTTTTTGCATCCCATTCGGACGTATAGGAAGTATTTTTTGATGGTGGTGGAAACTGGGCAAGAAAGAATACGCTAGGCTTGGCTGGGGCCAGGAGAAATATTTAAAAGAGTCGTTACCTTCAATCCGATCTAAACCAGTCATCAAACTTGGCTATTCTTGGAACCACCTAGGGAGCTTTAAAAACTATGGACCCCTGGATATCACCCCAAAGGTTCTGATGTAATTGATCTGGGATGCGGCCTGGGCATCGCGATTTTTTAAAACTCCTCAGGTTATTCCCAGCTTGAAAACTATTGATATAAATTTCTCATTCCTCTTCCTACCAAGACCAAAAAAAAAAAAACAAAACTGAGCCTATTTCGATGTCCCAGGGAATCTGGCCCTTGCTCTTCTGCAACCAGCCAGTGCTGCAAGGTCCCGGAAAATCGGCGCGCGCGGCAACGCTAAACACGCAGCGGCTGGGCGGACGGGCCGGGCGGGCGGGGCCGCGCGTGGCCCCGCCCCCGCACGCCTATGGGCGCGAGGTGCGGGCCCTGACGTCACTCTTGTCAGGGACGCGGCACATGGGCCGCCGGATGCGCTGAGCCCGGCGCTGCGGGGCCGCGGAGCGCTGGGGACCAGCGGCGGCCGGCGCGGGGAGGGGGGTGGGGTGGGACGGCGCGCCGCCTCCGGTGCTGGCACTAGGGGCTGGGGTCGGCGCGGTACCTTCTGCCCTTCTGCAGTCGTCGCCGTTTTTTTTTTTTTCTTTCTTTTTTTTCCAATTTTGAACATTTTGCAAGACGAGGGGTTCGAGGCAGGTGAGAGCATCCTGCGCGTCGCCGGGGAGCCCGCGGCCACTTGGCGCGCTCTCCTGAGACCGTCTGCACTGGAAACCCGAAAGTTTTTTTTTTTTAATATATATTTTTATGCAGATGTATTTATAAAGATATAAGTAATTTTGTTTTTCTTCACTTGTCTCCACCGCCTTGAGAGCGAGTACTTTTGGCAAAGGACGGAGGAAAAGCTCAGCAACATTTTAGGGGGCGGTTTCTTTTTCTTTTTTTAAGGGGGAAAAAATTTGAGTGCATCGCGATGGAGAAAATGTCCCGACCGCTCCCCCTGAATCCCACCTTTATCCCGCCTCCCTACGGCGTGCTCAGGTCTCTGCTGGAGAACCCGCTGAAGCTCCCCCTTCACCACGAAGACGGTGAGCGCTGCCGCGGCCCCGCTCCGGGAAGGGACGACGCTCCGGGGGTCCCCCCGCCCTGTCCCGCGGCGCCCCGGACCGGCTCTGATGAAATTGAGGCGCTCACCCAGCACCCTTCGTCCTCCTCCACGAAAGGGGAGGGACCCCTCCTGAGCCGCGTTTAAAAGTGCCTCGGGCACCCGGCCTCCCTGGGTCCCGCTCCTGCGGCGCAGGTGGGAGGTGTAACTTGGCAGGTCAGGATCATTCCCTAGAACCAGGCACACCTGCACGCAGAGTCAGCCCACCTGCGGAGGGCAGAGCCTTCCGGGCTGGGAAGGAGAAACCCCGGGGCCTGGTTCTGTGCGGGGCAGGGGGCGGGGGTCGGCCTGAGGGAGAGGGTCCCACTGCGTGGCCTGGGTTTTGGGTTAGGTTACATCTTCTGTTATCGGTTAGTATTTGGAACTCATGAAGACGCGTTTTCTCCTGGTGAAGGGTACCTGAGAAAGCGGGGTGGGGGCTGGGGCCGGTGAGGGGAGTGGTCTTTCGGCGGGAAGCCGTGCACGCCTACGGCGCTGACACTTTCCTCGTGCACTTTTTCTGGTGGGAGGGGAGAGCTGAGCAGGCTCACGTGTAACCGCGCAGGAGCCTCCTCTGGCTTGAGCCCTTTCTTGGTAAGTCCCAAACCTTCCCAGGACAACCTTGGGGGTAGAGGTAGAGGAGGGTGAGTGCGACGAGGCCCCAAACCCAGCTAGTGATGCCACGGATTTGGGTTGTTGCTGTTTCATGCCTTCAGTGTCACAGTAGCAAACGCGAACCATGCGGCTCAGAGTGTAAAGTCTTGAAGGGTTATTTGGCTACAAATAGCTTGGGAGTACTTGCATCTTCTTTCCTAGGAGGGGACAACCTGTTGCACTGCAAGAGTTTGCAATCTGCAGATGATAGCCACGGCCCCCTCCTTAACTATCCTTTAAGGAATAGCATTTGGGAGGAAGGGGCTGCCTGCAGGCTTTTGCAGCTGTGGGTGTTTTAAGTCAGATTTTCAGATGAGACAGTAGAGGGTTAGAATGGATGGCAGTGGAGGCTGTGTTTCTCTGAAGATGAAACTCAGAAGCAAATTCCTTAATCCCAGATTCCACCCACGACTGAATACTAGAATTGGCAAGATCCAGAATGCTTGTTAAAGACCTAATGGGCGAGCAGTATTTCCAGGTTGAAGATAGCTGCATACTTCCAACATAGGTGTATAGAATAACGTGCCTTTTCCAATAGCTGTGCTTTTGAAAGGTTTTTAAAAAAAAAAAAAAATGCATACTCTTTGTAAATTGGGTCATACCCAAATCTTTGGAGAAGAGAAAAAAGAAAACCCTTTGTATTTTTTTTAAACTCCTTTTGTAAAAATCAGTGTGCCCCAGTAGCTTTAGAAGCAAACACATGTGAGCTCAGAAAGTTCTCATTTTTCTTCTCTGCCGACATGAGGCATTGGTCAAGTTCCTTCATGTCTCAGAGCCCCCAAGTCTTTGTTGTAAATGGAGGCAACTGCTATTTTGCAAATTTATTGTGAGATTTTTGAGATGATATACAGAAAAAACCAGGCATCCAGTAGGTGCTCTAAACATGATATTAAAAAAGGGTGGAAGGTCCCTGCTTTACCAAAACTAAGACCACTAACTCACACTGGCTTTGTAAGTCTAATATAAATGACCTCATATTCCTGCTGCGATGAATTCCTAGAAGATAATTCAAGCCTGGTTATTGGCTGTTGTTTTCTTTAAAATGACAGCAGTTGTATATAATCACAGGTGCTATTTTCCTATTTTAGATTTAAGTTATGACTCTTCTCAAATGACGTGCTGAGACTGTTCTCTGGTTTTTATCCTAGATCAGTCTGTAGCCCTGTCCGAAGGACTAGTGCTTTCTTTCCAAAGTAAATAGGAAGATGTTGAAAAACAGGCAGAGATCCACGTCCTGCCTGAACTTTTAACTTTAGATCCACAAAAGACAGCAGCCAGAGAAGGACCCTGCCGTTCGTGAGAAGTAGTTTTGTAACAGGCCAGGAAGAGTGATAAAAGAGTGGTATTGTTTTTCTTTTCTTTCTTTTTTTTTTAAGTCCAACTTTCCCTTTTTCTGCAGCATTTAGTAAAGATAAAGACAAGGAAAAGAAGCTGGATGATGAGAGTAACAGCCCGACGGTCCCCCAGTCAGCATTCCTGGGGCCTACCTTATGGGACAAAACCCTTCCCTATGACGGAGATACTTTCCAGTTGGAATACATGGACCTGGAGGAGTTTTTGTCGGAAAATGGCATTCCCCCCAGCCCATCTCAGCATGACCACAGCCCTCACCCTCCCGGGCTGCAGCCAGCTTCCTCGGCTGCCCCCTCGGTCATGGACCTCAGCAGCCGGGCCTCTGCACCCCTTCACCCTGGCATCCCATCTCCGAACTGTATGCAGAGCCCCATCAGACCAGGTAAGCTCTCTGAAGAGTCTCCCTTTGGAAAGGGAGGAGGAGGGTGAATGGGACAGGCAAGGTAGACTTAGCATAAACATCTTAACACCCAGGCTTTAGCAAAGATCCTAAGAGAGGAACCTTCTGCTCCACTCCTGGCAAAGGCCCTCCCACTTGAATGAGCATCCATATCCCTCATCGGGAGAGTCTGGTAAATACACGCTCTTTGTATCTACCTCTAGAAATTCTGATTTTGCAAGTCTGGAGTGAAGGCCCAGGAATATGCATTTTAATCAGCTCCCCATAGGATTCTGATGCAGCTGATCCAAAGACTGCAGTTTAAGAAATAACAACTTACAGTTAATTATTTGGATAATTTAAGCCTCCATCTCATCTCCTGTCTCTTCCTCATTTTTTAAACACATAGATAATAGACTCTTAATAGGGTTTGGTTTACCTACATTCATTCTTCTCTGTCTTGAAGGAAAAAAAAATGCGAGTAGGGGCGTGAGGCAGGTATTTTTTTTCTATCCTTTCATCTTGTTTTATCATTAGCTGAGAAATAGAATCTAGAAGCATGCTCTCATTTGTGCTTCTTAGCCTTCTTAAGGACCAGACTATCTCTCTCGGTGCTATTCCCATAACCCCAACTGTTCTTAATATATTTTTTTTCATTTTCATCTGTCCATCATACTCAATCCACCTGTATCAAAGCCCACAAGGCTGCAAGGTCAGCTGTAAATGATCTTGAAATAGTACACAAAAATGTCACCTGAAATGACCAGTACTTCAAAACCCACTGCTAATGCTCAGATATAAACACAGATTGAAGCAGCTTTGAATTCATGCCTTTAGCACCCTGTAGTACAAAATGAACAGGAAGAAAGACAATTTCATGTGCACAGGTAACCAGGAACAAAGATTCAGCCAGATAAATCGTCCGGAAGGTCACAAAGCTGAGGGCCTTAGCTGTGGGGGAAGACAGAAAGCAGGACAATGCGAAACTTGTGCTAGAGATTGTTACTGAACTCCATGTCCTTGACTCTTATAGAAATTTCTGTGGCACACAGAGCGAGATTTAAATGGAAGGAAATGATGCAAGGGAGGAAGAGAATACCCCTGCCTTGATATATTCGTATTTAGAGTTAAAGTTCTTTCTTTCAAATCTCTGCGTGCTGGCCCCTTCTCCAAAATTCACTTTGAATTATGCTTCAAGGCCACTGGCTGGAATAGAATTAAATCTTAGCCTCCAGCCACCCCTGGATGCTGTGGGGGCTTGGGAAAACATTCCTTCATGTGATCCTGAGCCCCTGCTACTTAGAATGTGCAGTGGCGCTATCTTCAATTTCTTTGTAGGAACAACCAGCAAAATGAATAACCCTTCATAGTGAGAAAATAGGCAGGAGAGAAGGGAACAGAGCCCCAGTGGGAGACACAGTTGTGCCTCAGTCATGCTCTGTAGACTGAGAATCATCACTTTGTAGCTGTGTGACCTTAGACAGCGACGTCATTTTTGGAGCATCAGTTTCCCTTTTCATAGAAGGATACAATTTCTATTTGATTGATTTATTGTGTAAATTAGAGATAATATGTATAAAAGGTCAAATGACTAGCAATGGGTGTTCTGTTTGTGGAAGCAGTTGTGATCATTGTCATATGTGTCAACTTTTATTATTTCAATCCCCGTCTTCTGAAAGTAACTAGGTACTGTACATAACCCTTCCTCCGGAGAAAAATGTCAGGAGATTTTTGCCCAGTTTGGATTTGGATATTTTGACCCTAGCACTTGTAATCAGTTAACAAGTATTTCTCAGTCCCCTCCCAAATTTAGGATGTGTACCATGTTAGGGATACTGTATTTTTTCCCAGAAGACGTGCACATGTTGGGTGTCCACAGCTTAGTTCCTACTGAGAGTCAAAAACTGGGGCTTTGGAATTTGAAGCGGCTTGAAAACTCATTTGTTAGAGCTTCTTAGAGTCAGTATTGATCAATGACTCTCAGAAGCTTGGGATGCCCAATCAGAGTTGCAGTCTATAGCAAAGAACTCCTGAGTTTCAAGGGCTCTCATTTTGTAAGGTTGGATATCATTTTGTAATGGTGGAAAGATGCTGGGATCAAAGGAAACACTGAGGATCTAGAAATAAGCTCTCCATTTAAATGTCTTTTTAATTAATGAAAACACACTTCAAAATAATTTCCTTCTTGGAATTGAAACTTCGATGATAGTCCTCACAGAAAAGGAAGAAAGTTTAATCTCGTCTTCAAATACCAAGCTCAGGTAAAATAATACTCAGCTGTTCATAGATTGTTGATGATTACAAAGTTTACAATGCAAAATAAAATTCTAAGAGATGCTGACTTGATGGATGGACATTGTAAGCAAACCTGAAAAACGAGAAAGTTCTTGAGTATTCTGTGTGGCTCACAGGAGTGACCAGAATAGAAGTACCAAGTTAAACTTGAGGAACATAAGTCTTCAGAAGGGAAGAGCACAGATGTAGCCTTGAGCGTTCTGGGAATTGTATAATTTCAGTCTTGATCAGTGTTTCTCAACCTTGGCACTGTTAATGTTTCGGGTAAGTCTTGCGGGACACTGTTCCATGCTTTATGGGATGCTTAGCAGCATCCCCACCCCTACCTCCTAGATGCAAAGTAGGAGCCCCACTGCCCCAGGTGTGTCAAGTAAAAAAGTCTTGCATCACTGCCAAATGTCCGCTGGGCACAATAAAATCACTCCCAGTGGAGAACCACCCATCTAGAACTTCTACTTGGACAGCAAAATCTGGACTTACCCTGTCACACGAGTGGATAAACCCCCTGCAATGCTTTATGGCAAAACTTTTAAGAAGGTCAGGAGACACTGAGTTGCCAAGAAGAAACAGAATGTTAATAAGAGCATAATTATACGCTTTAGTTGATAAAAT